TCTGTAGTTGACATGAAGACATTTGATACTTCTGCTTCAATAAATATTAAACCCCCACCTATTGAACGTCACAAATCATTTGATGAAGACGAATTTTCCAAGAAGCCAATTATTGTCAAGAAAACTGTAAAAGCTCCTGTGAATGTGAAATCATATTCTATAGCAGACCTACAGATTGCCACTGGGAGCTTCAGTATGGATCACCTTCTTGGGGAGGGATCTTTTGGACGTGTTTATCGTGCTCACTCTGATGATGGGAAGGTATTCTCGTTTATTATTTCATTGACATTGCATTTGTGTCAAATTTTGGTTGGAAAGGCAGTGTTTCCTTAGTTGTGCCATTATCTTGTATTTTGCGTGGAAGCTGACTGATTCAAAAGCTATACATGCATGTGTCTGGCGTCAGATGCCTTAGAAAAGCATTATTTATCTCCACTCATCCATTGCCCCTTAAACCCCCCCCCCCCGGGCAGAAAAAAAAAAGCTTAAACCAACTGAAGTCTTGGAAGTCTGTGTGCATGTGGGACCCACTGTATAGCTAAGTTCCCTATGTATACCATGTATTCTTTAATAATTGACCAATTCTTGTGTCTATGCATGTGACTTAGACATTAATGATTTTGACTCTGTTGAAATTTTTGTAGGTTCTTGCTGTGAAGAAAATTGATTCATCGATCCTGCCCCATGATTCCGAAGATTTTATAGAATTAGTCTCAAAAATCTCCAACTTACACCATCCAAATGTGACAGAGCTTGTTGGTTATTGTTCAGAGCATGGACAACACCTCCTAGTCTATGAGTTTCATAAAAGTGGATCATTGCATGACTTCCTTCACTTATCAGATGAATATAGCAAACCATTAATATGGAATTCCCGTGTCAAGATTGCTTTGGGGACTGCACGTGCTTTAGAGTAAGTTCATATGGGTTGATGGGTTTGAAGATCCTGATGTTTGCTTTTTCTAAAGAAGTTTTCCATTGTTTCATGATATTTTCCTGACCATACAAGTCCAGTTTTCCTATGACCTACTAGATTTTGGCTTGCCCTTGCTATCCCCTGTTCCTACTATTGTTAATGTTTTATGTATCCTACTTGATTTAGAATGTATTTTTCTAAGTCTCTCTGCATAACTTTATTGTGCAAGAGCAAGGCATATAACCAATGTTATCCTGTACCAATCTCTTAATTGTTGGTTAATTCAGTGTTTAAATCCCAAGGTTGTAAAAGTAAGAAGATAGTTTGGATTTTCGAGTTTTGATCTTTACATAATCAATGATACATAAAATAAGATGAATGTACTCACTAATTTTTTTTCTAGGTACCTGCATGAAGTTTGTTCACCGTCAGTTGTTCATAAGAATATTAAGTCAGCCAACATATTGCTTGATGCGGAGCTCAATCCTCATGTCTCGGACTCAGGATTGGCAAGCTATATTCCAAATGCGGACCAGGTGAGTTTAGTATTTTTGGAACTTTAAGGAGTCAATGCTTTTTTAATTGGATTTAAGAGAAGTTTTGTTTGGTTGCGATAGTTTTTTGTTTAAATTAATATTATTTATTTTAGGCCTTGTTGCTTATTCATTCAATTTTGTATAGCCATTCTCCTTTCTATGAACCTCTTTTCTTCATGGATGTTGTCATACATCTGATGTCTTTTATGTGTAACCTTTGCTGCTAGTCACCACTTGCCAACTCGTGTGAATAGGTGTTAAGGGTCTTCCTGGCAGTATGAATGCTACTATGCAATTATTTCATCTTACGAAAGCAGCGACTGTTTAATTTAGGAAGGAAAACTTGCACAGATAATGTTTTCTTGTTAGAATTTAGAGGAAATATCATAAAGCTCTTGATAAATAAGCGTTTTCCTCTTGCAGTGACATTTGGCTTAGACAAATTATTAAAAATTCTTAATTTTCATCTAATATTCAGGTCTTGAACCGTAATGCTGGATTTGGGTATGATGCACCTGAAGTTGCTTTGTCTGGTCAATATACTTTGAAGAGTGATGTTTACAGCTTTGGAGTTGTTATGTTGGAGCTTCTTAGTGGACGGAAACCATTTGATAGGTAAATGATGGACGTGCGTTAGCATGACATTTTTCTCCCCTTGCACGTGTGCTGACAGAACATGCTGGATCATGAATATATAAATATATCAATATTTAAAAAAAAAAAATTGAAGTATGCCTTGACTTAACCTGCCTGGCTTCAAGCCTTCTACAGGCAACCTTGTTCGGAGACTCTACTTCAGTCATGACAATGCTAACTAGTCTCCTGGTTTTTCCAATCTGTGTATTGCTATGAAAAGAAACAAGTAAAATGAAAAAGGTTTATTTCCAGAGGATTCAATTCTATTTTTTTCTTTTCTTTTTGAAAATTTAACTTTCTTTCTCTGTTGCTATCGATTATGCCTTGATTCATATTGTTGTATTTGTTGTTTCTGGAATTGTGGGGAAATCTACGGTTGTTCGTGTTATTCTTTAAGTAATGGAAGAAATCACAACTTACCATTTTTTGGGTTCTAAACACAATTCTTAATTCTAAACAGCTCAAGACCAAGATCTGAGCAATCTTTGGTACGATGGGCAACACCTCAACTCCATGACATTGATGCGTTGGCTAAAATGGTTGATCCTGCTCTGGAGGGGCTGTACCCCGTTAAGTCCCTTTCTAGGTTTGCTGATGTCATTGCTCTCTGTGTTCAGGTAATGTCAGTTATATTGCACTTGCCATTCTTGTTCTTTTTAAGAAGGGAAATATGCCGCAAAATTTCCTGACAAAAAATGTTACACCTAGAAGGACTTTTGATGCTGAGCTATAAAAAAAAAAAATGCTCATTTGTTATCTTTTAATTGAAAAACTTGTGGAACTTATAAAATGCTGTATCTAAGTTTTTTTTTTTTTGGTGAAAACATAACTTCAGGTTCCTATACTTTGTTCACGTGTTTTGCTATTGGTCTTTCTATTTTTTTTTTTTATGTTTTTGGTCCTTGTACTTTTGTTTTTCATTGTTTTATGTCCCTCCAAAATCCCTATACTTTATTTATGGAGGGACCTAAAATAATGAAAAATAAAAGTATGAGGACAAAAAAACACCGAAAAAAAGTACAAGGACTAATAATAAAATACAAGCAAAATAAAGAAATCTAAAGTTTTGTTTCTCCTCTTTTTTCATAATTGAAAAAAAAACACTGAAGGCAGGAAAACAGCTGAATTTCTTGAATGGTTGTGAATTGTGATGCCTGGTCTAACATTTCATTTTTGAGCAGCCGGAGCCTGAATTCCGACCACCTATGTCAGAGGTGGTTCAAGCATTGGTTCGGTTAATGCAGCGAGCTAACATGAGCAAGAGGACATTTGGAACTGATCAAGGAGGATCCAATCGAGGAGGCGATGATCAAGACACACAAGATATGTAAATTGGAACGGAATCTGTATTTGTACAATGTCCAATAATAGTATTTATTTATTTTTATTTCTTTTTAACCCCTCAGCGGTACCTCTTTCCGGGTTTGGTTGATTTCTGTTTTGATTAACAAGGTTGGACAATTGGTGCTGTATTTTGTTTGAGCTATGTTCTTTCATTGTTGATATTAATTTTCAATAATAATTAGACTGGTCTGTTTAGATCGGTGTTTGTCTGCCCTCTATACCCTAATTATTTTTGTCAACTACAGTTATTTGTAATTTGGTTGGATCAGATTTTTAATTAAAAAAATGTGAAAATCAGATTTAGAAGAAGTTTTTGGCCATCATGTTTTTAAGTTTGTGTTTGAGGGGAGGGGAGTGTTTTTATGTTGCTTTGGTTGGTTTTAGCATGGAGAGAAGCTTTTAATGATTCTTTATTTAATTCAAGCCGGGAGGGGTTGGGGGGGTAATTAACTGTTATTTTACCCTTGTATGGAAAGAATTTTTTTTTTCCAACTCCCATAAATCTATTTTATATCTAAACATAAATGGCATCATTTCTAAAAGAATTACTCTAATCTTAATATATATTTTTATTATGTATTAAAAAATTGAAACTTATTTTTATTCAAAAAATTGTCACCTCTAGCATGTTTTGGCTACCGGCAATCACCACCGTGCCATTCATGTCTGATGGCTTTGAACCCACCTCAATTTTCACTTGCCACAAGTCCTGCATCATTGTATTAAAGCAATATATAACTGGTGGGCATTTTAAAATCCTGCAAGTGAAGCGTAAGATGTAATGATAGAGAAACTTAAGAGTGAGGGCATGGCTTAGTGTTGGAGAAGGAGACATGGAAGGAGGGAACAATGGGGAAAGGAGAGATCAAAGAATGATGGAGGAGACATGGAAGGAGGAAACAGTGGAGAAAGGAGAGATCAAAGAATGACATTGGCAATGAACTTTTTAATTATGGGTAGCCATGGAATATAGCAAAATTTAATGAGGGTAAATTAATTAATAAATTTGACTTCCCTCCGAAATCCTTCAATTTGGAGGGGACTAATATAAGGAGAGAAATTTTTCAACTGAATGAGGGAAGGGAAGCATTTTTCCTGTCCCCTCCAAAATCTCCTAACCAAATAAAACAGGCATGACATGCATGACATGGAGAAATTTGCTCAAAGGCAACGGTTGAGTTATGCTGAAAAATGTGTCTGCCTATATCATTGACAAATTAATAAAATAGAATAAAAATTGCATGTAAGTTTCAGCAATCTCCATGCTTTTGCATGGTTCACAAAGACAGTTGGGCGGAATCGAACATGAGTTAGAAACAATTGCAAATGTTTGCTAGATAGAAAAATACATTCTAGAAAAGAAATGACCAGGCATCTACCCTATTTTATTCCTAGATATATTCTCATTTTCCTTCCTAGAAAATATTTTTGCGTGCACCAAACATGCATAAACCCCCTCTCCTTACCAGAGTGTGTGTGTGTTTGTGTATTGATTGCATTCTTACTGGAGCATATAATACGCAATGGCACTCACAATGCAGCTGATATTTCTGTTACGCGCATATATCTGACGATTGCAATGATTCAAATCAATTGAAGAATAACATTTGTTACATGGATGTTTCAACAGAATCAACCTCGCAAGTACAGGTTCACACGGACGAATCTAACAATCTCCTCGTGAAAGAATCATGTGCTATGATAGTTTTCTCTGGGGAAAATATTGCACGTGCTGATAAGGTTTAACCAAAAGCAGGGAGGGGGAAGAACAAACTCAGTTGTAGACCATGTACTTGGGAGTTGCACTGAACTTTTGGTACCCTTTAATGACTTTATTCACTGCATCCAGGAAATCTTTCTCTGTTACAGTCTTCCTTCGGGCACGGATGGCATACATACCAGCTTCAGTGCATACACTCCTTATATCAGCTCCTGGAGACAAAAAAGTTTACCCGAGTCAACAAACTTATATCGAGAAGGTCACAGATCTAAAATAAGAAAAGGAAAGGAAGCTGCAGAAACACCTCGAAACCTGAACACTCACTTCAATGTTTGATAGTTGAAAAGCAAATGCAAAAGCACAAACAGTCAAATCCTTTCAGGGGGTTCTTACCTGTGGAATTTGGACAAAGGCGAGCAAGAAGTTCAAATCGGATATCCCTCTCACAGTTCATGGTTCTTGTGTGTATCTTGAATATCTGGGTCCTGCTCTCTAAATCAGGGAGACCAAACTCGACCTTACGATCCAAACGCCCAGGTCGAAGTAGGGCAGGATCTAGAGTATCAGGCCTATATAATTTGTGTAAAAATCCATTACCATTACATAATTGGCCGCACTCATTTATTCAAAGAATGTATTGCACAAAATGCATTGAAAGTGCAATTCTGATCTGTGCAGTATTTCTCGTGAAGCTGTCCGGAAACCAAGATTCAAGAAAATAATGACATATTTCAACTAAAGATACATCAAGCTTCAATCTAAAAAAAAAAAAGGATTAAAATATCCACAATTTAACAGGGTGAGGCTTTTCCCCCCCTTTCTTTCTTCCTATTTTATAACTCTAGCAGTCATTTAGGGTTCAACCAGAAGAAGAAGAATAATAATAAATAAAAAAAAATGTAGCCGAAAAAGCACTGCAAAAGAAACATTTGACAGCAATTATAAAGCTAATTTTGGTTATTAAAATATTCATCCTCCAAAGATTACACAAATTTACCCACATTAAATGAATGTCATTAAAGGAAATCTTCAGAAAAATGTAAAATTGATTTAAAAAAATAAAAGCATGACAAGTTGTATTAACCATGCATCCTACCTGTTTGTTGCCATCAAAACTTTGATGTTTCCACGAGCATCAAAGCCATCAAGCTGATTCACGATTTCAAGCATCGTGCGCTGAACCTCATTGTCCCCACCAACACCATCATCAAAACGGGCACCTCCAATTGCATCGACTTCATCAAAAAATACAATACATGCCTTCTTTGATCGGGCCATCTACAAGAAACAAAATTTTGGTCAGACTATCATGACATAAAAATAATTATTAAAGCAAGATCATAGATCTTAGATGTTGACCTGAAATAGTTCACGAACCATCCGAGCCCCCTCACCAACATATTTCTGAACTAGCTCACTTCCAATAACCCTAATGAAACAAGCATCAGTTCTATTAGCCACGGCCCTGGCCAAAAGTGTTTTTCCAGTTCCTGGTGGACCATAACAGAGAACACCCTTTGGAGGATCAATTCCAAGCTTAACAAATTTCTCTGGATGAAGCATGGGAAGTTCAACAACCTAGAAGGGGAAATTTTAAAATTAGTGCTACATCCTGTTTTCTCTAGGTAATTAATACTTATAGATGAAAACTTTTCTATCATTTACTTCTCGCATCTTTTCAATCTGCTCCTTACAGCCACCAACATCATTATATGTCACATCTGGCTTCTCTTCCACTGTCATCATGGTAACGCTTGGATCAATTTTTGGAGGCAAAGGAATCTGAATCTGGTATTTATTTCTATCAACCCTGCAATGATAGAATGATAGTCAATAAAATACAAAGATCAAATTGAAGTGCCCCCATCTCTTTGTAATATTTTGACATGTAAAGTAACCAACGTGGAACATACCCAACGCGCATTCCTTCCTCTATGTCAGTAGGGGAAACTTTGTCACCCAGCCCAACAACAAACTGTCATCCACAAAAAGATCACATCAGGCCCATCTTGTGAAATAAAGAAAGAAAGGTGAGGCCTCACTGGCATTTTAAAAAGCACACACCAAAACTTATCACCAAGTGATATCTTAAACAATGTTAAGTGAAGCAGGACTTATGTTTTACAAAAATCCAGCAGACACGAACATGATAAAGATAACAAAAAGTTACTACAAATACAGGCACCTTTGCAATCTGCTTAACATTGATAACATATTTAGCATCTTCAGAATTTGGATTTATTATCTTTGTGCACCTGGCCACCTATTCAATCAACAGTCAAATTTAGCAGCTCCCACAAATATAAAAAAACATTTTGAGCGAAAATAATAGTAATAAGATACCACCTGAAGAGGCTGCTCCTCCTGCATCATTTGCTTATCAGAAACAAGATCCCACTGACTTGGTGCAGCTAGACCAGTATCAGACTCCTTAATACCTATACATAACAAAAAAAGCACGTTAAGTCAAAGTATGCAGATGCAATCAGCCAGCAGTACATGTAACCAAGACAATCAGCAGAAATTACAGTACAAACAGCACAGTAACAAGATTTCAAATAGAAATGGAATACATCACCTGATTAAGGGACTACTTCAACTTTTATTATAAAAAAATATAAATATATAAGAATGGTCACACACTAGATAAGCACATAACAAAGATACTAACAACAGATAAATAATATCCAAAATTTAAACAACTACAACAATCTAACGAGCAACATGGAAATACATTGGCAAGATAAGAATTAATAAAGTGTGGTTCCTTCCAAACTAGCATGTAATGTACACGTCCGGTTCAGTCTTCATGAATTTATCAACTAGAACCCAGCTAGCTCTCTAATATTGTGGGTAATGGACTAATGGTCGAGTAAATGTTATGATCAACATGATATAGAAATGATAAACAAAGAAAAAGTATATGAATATGAAGTATAATTCATCTCTGACTATAAAATAATGATTATTAAACATACTGAATCAGCAGCGAGGTCAAAAACACACACACATCCTTGTGCAGTAATATACAATTAGATTAGAGTATACTTTTCTGGCCTGAAGATAATTAGAGTACACATCCCAAATCCATAACGAGTTTTTTCAAATACTGAATACACAGGTTTGCATCTTAGTGAGATAAAGAAAGGAACTGGTGAAAATACCGCATAAATCATTGACTTTCTTTGCCATCTCTTTGATCTCCTTCTCCACCTTTTTTATACCTGTGGAATAAGGTCCCAGACCCTGCACAAACCAATATTTACTTCTAAAACAATTCCTTTAAACTAAGTCACTGTGGGTGAGGTAACACCAATAACAGAATATAAGAGGAGGTACATTACGTACAAACGTTTAAACATAAGATTAGCCATAGAACAGCTTTAATCAGAAGGTAGGCTCTTGGCAATGAACTACCAATAGACTTGCCTTACATATTAAGAGGAAAAGCTGAAAAACACCCATCGTGATCACTACTTTATATAATTATCTGTGTACAAGAACGGAATCTCAGTCACTCTTCATAAAAAATAACAGAAGCTGAATAATTTTCTCATCTGACTGGAGAAGTTCGGGATTCACATAATATGCAAGCGACTGAGGCATCCCAAGTACAAAGATTTATCTGTTCCAAAACCTAATGCATCTACAGCATGAATATGTAGCATAATTTTATCTGGGTTAGCAAATGATAAATAAACCTAACTTAACATATTCTTGACACCCAACAAGTCTAACTAGTTCCGGAAGCGTGCCAAGAGGTATGAAAACCCTTAGACTTTCATAAACGTTGTTTCTACAGCCAGGGAGATCTTCAAATTAATCGCATTAAACTGACACCCGCACAGTATCAAGATTAAGGCAATAACACCAAGCTAATTAAAGTACACAGTAGATGAATAGTAAATTGGCCAAATGCCAGGCGGCCAAAAAACAATATAAACTTATTGATGAGACCCATCATCAGCAGAATGAACAAAGCTTGAACTGCGATTCAGCTGAGGTAACATTGAAAATAATACCCAAGGAAAATCAACAAAGTGAATACTCAAACAAATACGTAGATCTACAGAACCTCGACAGGTAGAGGGGAACGCCAAAAGGTAGGGATTTCGTAAACAACTTACATAGGTTTTGAGCAGGGCAATGTCATCCTCGTCGAGGGGACGGGGGTTCTTCTCGTCCTTGATGTCCTCTTCGTGATCGGGTGCCATTGATGTGATCCTTCCGAATTTGTTTTACTTCCTCAGAATTTCGTAAGAGGTAAGTGTGACTATGAAACTACGATTCTATTTGGGCTTAGCGGGGCTTTTATGCAGGAAGGGTACAGTAGTGTGCAAATCCGAGAAAGAAAAGCAAATAACAAGGTGACTTTCATAAAAGGCAAAAAAAAAAAAAAAAAATTATATATATATATATATATATTCTCCTACTGTTGTATCCATAATTTAAAATGGTTGGCAAAAAAATAATAATTTATAACGTTTTAAAGAAACAAGCAACATCAATTTATAAAATGAGACTTAACCTTTTTATCATTAAACACACTAAAACTATCAATATAATTTAAAACATTCTATGTAAATAAATGAGTGCAAAAGTTTGCTTCTATAAATAAAATTCAAGGAAACAAAATTAGAATGATGCAACTTGACTCTAGCATATTCAATGATATTTCTAAACGAGTGATAACTCAATCATTCTTTGTAGCTTTTGTGACCAATAATCTCAGTAATTATGAGAACAAAGTGACCAACATTAGAATGAAAGGCAACAATCTATTTAGCATGGCTATTCCGTAGCACACCTCCACATTTGGAAATGTCATTACTGTAAGAACAATCAATGTCTAAGCGAAAGTTAATACCATCAGGCCAGTACCACTAGTAATAAGTACGCTCAGATGAAGCACTCTTTGTAGTAGAGGAATTCAGTACACTCCAATCAGACTCAACTTGATGCAAAATTTCCTCTTTCGAGCACAATCTCTTAGTATCCTCATTCGAGAATATACATATGCATCTAGCATACCAGACATCCTAGTACACGGATCCAAAAGGAACATCCCATGTTACCTATTTAGTGAACTCCTTTCCAGCATGATGTCTCAAAGTTCTAAAGTATCCAGTGTTCGTTGATCAAATTTTTGAAGCTGCTCCAGAGTTCAAGCATGATGAACTCTCTCCACCGATCCTCTGCAAAGGGACAATCCTTAAGCACGTGCATGACAGTCTCCTTCTATGAACAGCCTAAAGAGCGAAGGTGACATGTTGGAACCCTCCAGATGCACGAAGATCCGCTGCGTGCGGTTTATTTTTTGCAGCCAACAGCAGAGGGGCAATCTTCTAGTAGGTGCATTACCGTCTTCTACTACCAATTTAAGTTAATGATATTTTCATATTTTTAACAACATTCTTTCATTTACTGCATCTCCTCATTTTAAAAAAATTGTTTAATTAAGCATTGACTAAATTTCATACCATAGTAATATCAAAATAGTATATATATTTTACTGCTTTGCTGGCGGTAACTTTTCAACCTTTACAAGCTCCAGTCCTCTTGGTATCATTTGTCATGATCAGAAGCTTTTGAATAGTCTTCAATAAAGATCACTGTGGAGGCTCTTAATTAGAATATTAACTTCTTAACTTCCTAATTTGTCTCGTTCATTTTATATTTTTAAGTTTAGGTGTTTTAATTTTGGTATTATTTTTAGACCAATTCTATTGTAGAACTGTTTTTTATCCGCAAAAAAAAAAAAAAAGCAAAATGCATGAGTTTCTTAAGAGCTTGAACCTTTCTTATGACAAGTTTCAAGCTCCAAAGAACTGCTATTGAAGAAAAATCACATTAAGAAACAACACACAAAAATTATTGGAAAAGTATATTATTAATCCTTTAACTTTATATAAAACTTTCATTTGATCTCTTTACTTTTTAAAGCATTTTTTTCTATTCTCTAATTCTAATAATGTTAGTCTCAAATGACAATTCTTTATACTAATTATTGTTATTTAAAAAAAATAAACAACATATATTAACATTTGAAAATGTTTTGCCAATGTAATATCTCAACTCCTAGAAATGCTAATATGGATGTTTTGTTAATATAATATCTCAATTTTTTGAAAATGTTCGTTAATGTTTCATTTATGCAATATCTCAATTTTTTGTACTAGCGTAAAGTTAAAGGAACAGAAATAGACTTTTATTGAAAATTATATATGACTTCTTGAAATGCCTTTTGGCTTGTCCTTTACAACAAGGTAAGATGTACTTGAAATTGAGCATAGGTTATAACAAGTAAAAAGTTTTAAAATTAAACTTCATTTACCAAAAGTCCAAGAGAAAATCCACAGATAGCAACAGTTTTCATTTCCATAGAAGACATGTTGAAGAGCCAGTAATTGCACTAGGGCCAAATTGAGGACCAGGTTTTCATTGTACAAACAATCTCTTTGATGAAAGAGTAGATCAATAAGGAATAACGCTTATGAGACAAAATCGCCAATGTTATTATCATACATAAAAATCAATACACAATAAATTTCAAACAAACCTATTATAGGACAGAAGTGGCGCAGTAATAAATGGCAGGGGTACATGAATAAGTTTTGTAGTATCTTCATTCATTTTCCGCAACAATATTTGGTTCCTCGCCTTGGCACAGGTACTGATCACACACTGATGCTGATCCCCAGTCCTTTCTAAGCCTCAAGATGTCTTCAGTGAAAGTGGAACCCGGGGCTCCAATGAACACACTAGACATGGCACATATAGTCTTATCCAACATAGCTTCCACCTTAATTATAAAATATTCATAATGCATGTCAGTAGAAGAATTTGATGCCTGGCAATACCGACAATTCAGTAGGCTTTTCTGTTAGCGAAGTTACTAGCACACATAACATGTCAAAATGTTTTTTCATTTAATTTTATTGCCTTATCCCAAAAGAAGCATGACGGAAAGTGCAGATAGAATTAAAATAAATAAATAAAGTACGGTCAGCCTAAACTTTGAATCTACACTCTGAATCAACTATAACGTGGCCCAGTACTCTCTGAAACCTTATTTCAGGAAGTGCTGCTCAATGCAAGCGAAAGATCATCAACAGGAAAACTGAAAGCAATAATTTGAGTATCAAATGGCCTAAAGTTCATTAAACTTCCATTTTCCTTTCCTGAAAGCAACAGGTTTAGGTGGGCTAACGAGACTTATAATTAAACAGCAAGATTTTTGGATCTGGCTTCTCTGCAGATTACACTTCACCTATCATTTGCAGGTCAAGCTAAAGGATCCTATTTTTGGCCATAGATTTCAAACTTGAATACCAATCCCTCTCCCTATCTATAAATAGGAAGAGAAGAGAATAAAAGACACACATACTGATGCAGATGATCTGTTTTGTATAGAAGTCATATTTGAGATTTTGAGTCTCAATAACCGGAAAATAAATCAGCACATCACTCTGCATGCAGTGATACACATTATTGTAATGAAAGATAACGTTCCACTCTAATTAGGGTCAGACAACCTGGGTCACTGAAAGAAAAACAGAAGATTGATCCAGCAGATACAGCACACAACAATAACAAAAAGAAAGCCCAGCGAACAGATATATGTTGCCTTAACTGCAAGAAACAGCACTATCATCTCACCTGAGAATCGCCCTCAATACCATGTCTGTATAATAGAGCATCCCATTTTTCTGCTGAATTACGAGCTGGGCGTTTTACTAGTGGAACAGGCTTGTTATTCAGCACAACGAGTGACTGCAGCAAATCGGTTTCACTTTCTGCTGCATCTGTGGAAAGATAAATGACAGGTGCATTGGCACTTTCAACCACTCGCAAAATGCAATCTGCTGCTTGAGGGATGGGGTAAAAGCAACTTGGTTTTTTAACATTACTGTAAATATGACCAATGGATCATTAGTGATAATACAACTAGGAATAATATAAAATACAAGAGGGAAAATTGCAGGAAGATTTCTCATGAGGCAGAAGCCCAAAAATTGCCAAAGTATTGGCATAGACATAGTTCCACAAGATTGTATATAAATCAGAAAGAAAACATTATAATAGCTATGTGCTGAAGATTAAAAAGCTGTTAGCAGTTCACAAGTTAGAACTTGGAAATCGGGAAGCTGCAGGCAAAATGTACAGGGTAAAGAAAAGCATCACGCTAAAAGCATCATAAAATTAATCCTTCCTTTCTAGAAACATGTGCATACAAATCGTTTCAAAAGGACGCACCAGAATTTCAAAAAGCCGTGTCTTCGAAAATGTAAAGCAATGAAGCTCTTTCCCAAGAATGTTTGAATAAAACGCTGAGCAGTAAGCATGATAAGACGGCTAGGTTCAATCAGAGTCTTGCATTTGTGAGCAAGCGGGCCGCCTGGTTGCGTTACCCATTCTTGCTCCACGTCAGCAAAGAAGACATCCCCAATTGCCATGACATCATCATCATGTGTAAACTTAGATAAAACATCTTGAGCTGTCCTCTTTTTAGGCTTCTTGATATCCTCAACCCAAACAGGCTCAGGTTTACTCATTGACAAACCCAACGACTTCAATTTCTTTATATGGTCCTCATCCAGATAACAAGGTTGGGGCAGAGAAAAGTAACATAGAAACTTATCTATCTTCATATGATCCTTCTTGATATTAGCAAATTCATCAAAGGAGATGACAACCTTTTTTCCCAAGCATTTATTAATGTGAACGATATCCAACACTCTGTCATACTGATAATCCACGTTCGAACTCGGAATAACCAATACCCGATTAAGAAGAGCCGCGAAAAACATATGCTTCTCCAAGCAAATTAGATGGTTGGACATCTGGCCTGAAACACATATGGCAAGCAAAAATTTATCAGTTTTTGGCTTCCATTCAAATGTTCTTCTTTGTGACAAATTCTGATCCACTGTTCTACACCTATCATAACTGACATAACCCAAACTAGCATTTCCAAGACCAAATTCGGGTTCGGCCAAATTCCCAGTCTTATGGGGAGACAACAAAACCTGTTGAATCTCTTTATTCAAAGAAATCTGCTTAAACAAAACAGATTTAAGATCTTCCAACAATGCCGAAGATGAGAACGAGCGTAAGTGATTCGGATCCTGCATTGGCGAACTTGAATTCAAATCATTCGTTAAATTCACAGCAGAATTCAGTTGAAACGTGTGATTCCAAATAGTCAAAAGCTCAGACTGTTGCTGCTGCAAGAGATGAAGAGCGCGCAATTCGGACTCCTTCATTTGTTCACGTAGCGGATCGAACTTTAGAGAAGGGAAATTGGTGGGAAAGAGCGTATGGGCATCGGTGGTGAAGTATAGGAGAACAATTAAAATACCGAGAATGACAAACGAATACCTCTTTCGGAACTTGAAATTCAATCGGGGCATTCGAGAACTGAAATCTTCTATGTGGAACACAGCAGAGGCAGAAGAGGGTGGAGAAGGAGGCTTTCTCACATTCTGTTCGATCAAATTGTGGCGGTCATCTTCTTCGTCCGAAGACAAATCTCTCTGCATTGCTACCCTTGGCAACGGTAACAAACAACCGGAGATCGAGTCCGAGGCTGAGTACTCAGTGGAAGCAACAGTCAGTAGTGGCAGCAATTGAGAAAAGCTAAAGAGTCGCCCACAATGTGAATCGCCGAGTCAGCGACTCGGTGAGTGTGAATGAGTGAGTGACAATAACGGAGGAGATGAAATGAACAAATGAGTATATCCCCCGATGGAGAAGAGAAGGAGCGGAAACGTAAGCAGCGAGCGAAAGTGAACCATTCGGTTGATGGCCAGGAAAAATGAAAAAAAAAAAAAAAAAAAATCAGTCGGCAGAAATTTTTTTTGGCATCAAATCAGCGAGTGAATCCCTCCAACTGCTACTATTAACAACATTAAAGATTTTATTATAAAAAATTAGATGGTCATCACGTTTCTCCAAGCAAACAAATGCGCAGATTTACTGAGACATCAAGCTCATATAATCAATTTAATATTCACATTTTTCATATTTCACCGCTTGGATGAAAAAAAAATTTTATATGCTAACATGACATGACATATCATCTCTATGATGTATTTATGAAATTTTATTCAAAAAAAAAAGAAAGAAAAAAACAGCGGGGGAATGAAAGTGACGATTTAACGGTCCATCTCAATATTATGGGCCTGTGGCTGTTACAGGCCCAACTACTGGTTATGATAATCAAGTTTTAACGTTGCTTAGCTTCTAAAACGCATTTCGTTATAAAAAAAAAAAAGACGGTTCATTTTTAGAAAAGGAACATTTATTTTTAATAAAATCCTTTGAAAATCTTAGTTATCTAAGTTCGATAATATAGAGATCTTAAAAATTTTAATTACTGCAAAACATTAAGAGTTAAGAATTTTTGACACTTGTTTTAAAGTTCCAATAAAATTATCAATGTCATTGAAATTATTTAAACTGTAATTTCGTTAAACATGACAATAACTATAATTTTTAAGATATTTTAAGTCCTTCAAATGCATTCCTCACTAAGAAATGTTAACGACCCCATTTTTGTGTGATTTGGTAAGCATTAAGTAATTCACGATGACCCCAACTAAGCATCAAGCTTGAATAATGGATCTATAATTCTTTTCGAAAGCTTCAATTAATCTTGACTTGAGAAAATCATTGGCTTGCTGAGATCGTTGCTATTATTTATAAAAGTACAGACATCTATTGAGAAGTACAGTGGCAGTGAGAAATCGTTTAGATGGTTCAAGAACCAATAGTGATCTTTTAACAATTCTGGAAGTTTTTGGTGCTAAAACCCACCATAGCTCAGAGCACCCAGACACGTAACTATGGTTATTTGATGCCACGTAATGCATTGATATGAAGTGGAAGCCTCGAGAGCATGCCATATTTCATCATGCCATAAACTCTTTAAAAAGTGAAGAGGGAAATCATGAACATGAAATGCATGTAATTGAGTTTGAAGTTAAAGCAGTGTAATTTTTTGCCGCTGAATTGATTAGTATGGAGTGGACGAGAAATGCTCTCCTACCTTGCAGGAAATGGATGAGCACTGGTCAGTGGAAGCTGATGACCTCCAAGGCTGCTAACAGGGCTGCAGTTCATGGGGTCAAGTTGCCTGTACCTGATATTATCAATGTAAACAGATTGATATAATACTGATTTCTACGTAAACTTCATCATTGGTTTATTTATCTGAGCCAGCCGTTTTATGATTTATCAAATATTTGTGCTCTCTTTTTTTGTGGGGCCGAAAACTCTGGTCTGTGTGGTTCTGCAGAAGAATGAAGTGGAAAGAGAGATTCAAAAAGCAAAAGAAGAGAAAGAAGCCAAGAGGAAACAGATTGAGAAGGCAGTGGAATCCCACGTGAACTCTTCCTCCAATTCTGATCATTCTTCTTCTGATGGTTAGATTTTGTTGTAGCTGGTCTGATAGTGCTTCCCAATTTGTCTGTGTTTCTTTTTCACCCATCTAAAACAAACCAGCATCTTGCAGTTAAAATTGCTGTGATAATTGTTGTCGTCTGTTATTTTAAGACCTTCCTGTCTCAATTTATGGTTTGTAAAAAATCAGAAACCTTGAGAAGCCATGGGAAACTACACGCACAGGGAAAGAGAGAAAGAAAATGAGTGAGAAAACAATGATGACAATGAAAATTAACAAATTGTGGTATCTATGATAGCGTTTGAAACTGAACTAATCTTGTTCTATATCAATTCTAATGAGTTTCTTCAATTACTTCAACCAGTCTCCCACGAACCCACTTTTTAGTCACAGCAAGCGATTTAGAGGGTGTTTCATCTTTAACGGATTGAATTCCCATTACTTTTGGAGAAGAGTCTGCCTTGTGCTCCTTGCCCTGGTCTTGTAGGTTTTCCTTTGGTTCACTTGTTGAATCCGATTCACTTTCAAAACCCAAAGGAGAGGATGCAATACCGTTGGTAGCTGAAAGGTGAAGCTTTAGATCACCATTAAGCAACTCGTGCAGGGAAAATTTACCATCAGCTAACTTGTAATCACTTGATGGAAATGCTCTGTGTCCGTTTACTGGAACAATATCAGATTGGTTTAAAACTTCCAGTGTTGCACCTTTTTCCTGATCAGTCTCGCTCAGGGAAACAGAAGAAGAAACAGCACTCTCAGTTATATGTTGTGTTTCAATGGATTCGAGTGATTGAATAGCTTCATTTATAAGCTTCCTGGTTTCCATGAGGGAAGCTTGTGCAATAGGACTCTTGGTTGCAGCAGCCTCAAGCGCATTGGCAGCCTTCTCAGCCTCAGCAATTAATAGTCTGCACAGTTGCATATCATGTCAGGGATATACGAAATTAAACACATTCGACAAAGCTTTCAGAGTAGATGAGTCAATTTGATTACAGTAAATTTATTCATCGTTAAGCCAAAGTCTAAAGTCCTTTAAAAGAAAAGAGAAGTTCAATGAAGGCATAAAATTTGGACTCTGGGTCTACACAGAAGCGCAAAAGTAAAAATTCAACTGAGAAGTAAAGGAATAATATCCTGCCACGAGTCCATGTAAGTAAAGATGAATTTACCTTGCTCGCTCAATGGCCTCAGTCTGTTTGGTTTCTGCATCGGCTCTCTGTGCTCTGATGTTCATTATCATGTCAAACTTAAAACTCGCCAAAGGATCCTTGTAAACAGGAGATGATCTTCTTCTCAGCTGCTTTTGAGTAATTCTCCCATTACTGTTGGCAAAACTTCTAGTTTCAGTAGACTTTTTCCTTAGAGGGTTCCTCCTTGTGGATTCTGTACCATCACTTGGCTTTCTCCTTGGTTTCCTTTCAGTTTTATCAGCAGTACCATGATACTTGGCCAATGCAGAGCAAACTCTTTGGCGGTATTCCTATTTAAAAATTAAAACAAAAAAGAGAAGTAGGTCAGGAACAAATTAACAACTCCAACTAGTGATGACAAAGTTAAAGCTCAATTTAAAAATTAACAGATGGATTGTGTTAGGAGACCAAAAAATACACGAGGCCGTCAGAAGAGACGAGTATACTTGACCGATGCCAAATATATTTCCTCCTAGATTATTTTGATGCTGGATAGGAATGCTTCGAACAAAGAACATACAAAACCATTTCAGCAAACAGGACAATTAAACAAGTTCAAGTGAAACTCACGTGGATAAGCCAAGGAGAAGCTGACTATAGACAACAGGAGAATGTGCCCGGAGTTTAAGCAATTTTTGGCACAAGACAATAGTAAACCATAAAAAGTGCCATCAGGTAATAAAATCTCCAACCAAAACGCAACTTGCGGTTCTGACCTTTTAACTCTCCTGACTGCACTTGTTCCCAGCCAAAAAAAAAAAAAAGGGTCGCATAATCAGAGTGACCATGACATTTACCGGAAGACAACTTGTGAAATAGGTCAATGTAGAAGCCTTTTGACACAACAAAGATCAATAGGTAACAGAATAGTGAAACACCTCAACTACTACTCAGCCTCAGATCCCAATCTTTTAGGTTGCATATGAAATAAAAGAAATATGTTTCAAAGGAAATCTTAAGGAGCATGATCATAAAAAATTGGTAATGTTATAATCACTCACGCGCACTCACACAGAGTATTGAACATGTGGATCAGGACTTAGATTAGAAGTATCATCATAAATATCATGCACAAATATAGTAGGTGTAAGAACCAAATATAACTAATGCCAAGGTGTTGCTAGACTGGTAGGCTTATGGTCATTACTACCCACTTTTATTTTGTGACTTTACTAGCATGCAAGGCCAGCAGTCAGTAAGCCGATTGCAATATCTACCAGAGTTTGGTGAGCAAAACAATAAAGTATGCAACTTCAAGGTGTTGACATATGCTTACAGGATCAGCCCATTTTGCAGAGATGGCTTCAGCAATCTTCCTCCTCTGCTCAGGAGATTTGGGTGCTCTTTTACTATGAGGCGCCCTTTGCATCTTTTTCCTTTGTTCAACACTCTCAAGCCACTCCTGCTGCAGCTGTTCATTCAAAGTTCCGTAGGAATCCCATTGCATCTCTTCCTCACCAACAAAGCCTTGTCTAGAAGCTTCTGCAATTAAATTCTGCCACTCAAAGATGCAAGCTTCCTGCACCATCCTTTTTGCAATCCTCCTTTCCCAACCCTTTCTCACCCCAATGCCAATCTTCTGTCTTGTTTCCATGCTGAAAACCAATAAGAAGGCTGAGTCCAGCATAATGCATGGGGAGAACAAGTAATCACCTAAGGAGCAGTATTTCTATCGAAATAAATAGGTGATGGGAATCAAAGACCTTCATTGGCCTACTATAAATTTAGGAGCTCTATGGCACACCACAATCCTTATCGCATCTTGGATGTCAAGAGGCATACCAGATTTTCATGTGCTTTTAATGATATCTAAAATGTCTGGTGGCATTATAGCACTACGGAAGAGACAAGCACCATTTTAGTGGTATTTCATAACACCCAAAAACTATGGGGATCTCTCATCCCTAAAGTTTCAAGCCTCGAGTCCATGGAGTACAGACCTTTTATATGATACCACATGCATCATTTCTTTCACAACTTCAATTGTCATACCAAGCAAGACAACCTTAAATACTATGGTATCCATTCACCAAAAAAGGGAAAAGAAAATATTATGGCATCCATGATACCGAGAATGTAAGAGACCAGTGGACCAAATGGCTCCCTAATAGTAACCATGTGCAAGTGGAATAACATATTACTCACGTTTGTGCATGTCCAAGATCAACCAGCTTCATTCTGACCTGCATCACAGAATTTTGTTAAGAAAATTAATTATCAGCCTAACGTTAGCCAAATTCGAAAATCTAATCATCAATCCATCTTGAATGCATTATCCAGACTTAATTAGTCCAGTAATGTCAACACTAACTAATCCCCGTCAATAATTACCATTAAAGTTACAACTCAACTAAGAAATTGTTAAAAAAAAAAAAAACCAAAGTCAAATAACAAGCAAACTTTGAATATTAGATACTACATTCTCATATATACTCAGTTTGGCTAGCCAAGTTAAGAAAAAGCTAAGAATTAAATAGACTCGTTGAAAAGTACTTCTATAAGTACATTGCTCAAAATTTGAAAACAGCCAATACTATAGAATTCGTCAACAATGAGCTTTTTCTCTGGGTGGGGTTAAGGGAGAATGTAGTGAAGGACATAATACTTCTTCTGTTTCACAAAAGATTTCACTTTGGAGCTTTTGTGATTTTTCAAATTATTTGTTGCTTTAGACTTTCAATGAAGTACTCCCTCCGTTCAAACATATTTTGAAGAGTTGGATATTAAAAAATATAAGACATTTTTAGTCTTTTGAGATGTAATCATTGCCTTTTTTCTAAAAGTGCCCCTATTGATTAATGACTTTATATTTATTGTAGTGTATTTAATAGAAGTAAATATAAAAAGATAGGATTAATTTGAAAGTAGATAACTATTTCATTGGGAGTAAGATACGGTTAAAAATGCCTTACCTTTTTAAACGGAAGGAGTATTTATTATTTTTTATTATTTTACCCTTCATAAAAAAATACATCGGTAGGTAGAGTATTTGCTTTAATAAAACAAATACTCAAATAGTCAATTTAAAAGAGTATTTAAGACAAAGGTGTTTTAATAAAATAACATCAAATTTTACTGTAATCCAAGTTATTTAATGATTTTCTTGGTTTGTATAAAAAAATCCCAGCGTGATAATTTTTGTGAATAGGAGGGAGCAACATAAATATGGAAACTATTAGCAAGCATCAAAATTGCAGCTGCGGAATTGTAGTTGTCATTATTTCAGAAGTGCATTGCATTTATATATGTGCTTTGAGTAGGACAAGCTTAACCAAAAAAAAAAAACCAAAGAAAGAAGAAGAAAGAATTGCTTTCCTGTTAACAAAAAAAGGAAAAAAAGAAAGAAAGAAAGAAAGAAGTACAATCAGTATGTAGTCTACCTGAAGAATCTAAATCGGTCGCAGGTAAGTAATCATGCATTATAGAATTTTTTAACAAAAAATAAAAAGGATGTTGTGTTACTTAATATCAAAATTTAAAGACAATCTTACATGACATCACCTTAGGGTTCTGCATAGCAAGCCTGGTTCTTTCCCTGATTTTCTGTAAAGTTTCTGCGCAAGAATTTAACATTTGAAATGATTTCAGAACTTGGGAAAGGACAAGAGTGAATGGAAAGTGAAACAAGGGGCAATAAGGATTAATTTACCAGGACTATGCTTCCTGCCTTTGTTCCATGGCGTGTTTCCTGAATTTGCTTTTGAAATTCTCATTCTTCTCATCTTCTCCCTCTCATCAAGCTCTTCTGGTTCATCATTGAAAGAGTCACGCCGAACTATAGGCCGACTATAATTTGCACCTGTCTCTGAATCCTTGAAACTCAAGCATTTATCTTCATCTGCAGCCAATCTCTTCGGTTCAAGAGTAGCAACTGACTTAATCAAGAGTCTGCCCCTTGGTAACTTAACACGTCCCTCATTGAAGCTCACCTTTTTAAGCTTTTCCAGAGATTTCCAAGCACAAGGAAGTCTCAGCTCATTACCAAATGTAAACGAAATTGATGTTATTTTACCATAAAAAGGCTTTTGAGCTCCGAGTGAATACGAAGAACAGTGGAAGTAGCGCTGCGCATTTGTAATCTCTGGTCGCAAAATTCAAAGGGGGAAAAAATATCAACAATAAATAGTATTATCATCAGCTAGAACTAATAAAACACCCAAATAATAATAACTCCGAAATTAGAGGAAGTCATGTTCAAGGATGGTGGAAGTCTCCATTACCAAACGAAAAATGCAAATGCCTTTAATAAACAGTAAAGCCATATTAAAATCATCGACAGTTGGTCACAGAACACCTCAACAGTAGTACAAAAAGAAATGCAAGACAGTGACAAAGAAGGAAAAAAGAATAAGCCAGAATTACACAAATGAGACAGAGAAAAGGGAGAGAAGAGCGTACCCAACAAAGGCATGGGAACTCATTCAGCAATCTACACAGACATAAAGAGTGCATGACTTGGAGGAGACTGCATTTAAGTTATGCACCTTTCGGAATTGTTTTTGGAGAGTTTAACTAGAGTGACTGAGAATTGAGTCACTCCAGAGGAAGTTGATGCAGTGAAAGCGATAATGAATCGACCCCAGAAGAGAAAACTAGCCAGTTAATCGAAGAAAGGCACACGAAGGAGGAGCCACACCCATCCATAAGTGGCGAAGGACGAGCCAGAATTGGATAACGAGCAGACAGCAGAGCAGTTGCTGGAAAAGAGCCCACAAATTCCCAGGGCCGAGAGATGTTTCTTATTTTCTATGATCTTCTATTATTGGGCTTTCAGTGGTATGGGCCAAACTTGGATTATTTAGCAGTGGGCTCTTGTGAATGCTCTATGAAGACAACTACGTAGGCCTTTTACGTTATGAAGATGAAACTAGGAGAAAAACTTCTGTTTTTATTTGTATAAAAAAATTCTGTTATTTACGTTTTGTGAATAGTATATTTCGCTTTAAATCGTATGGGAGAGATCCCTTGTTCCACTGTAACTCAAACAAAATTATTTTTAATAGGTTGGGAGCAACTAAAAAAAATATTATCAACAATAGCCTTACAAGTATTTTAAAAATATCTTTATTATATTTATTTATTGTGACTGTATATTTTCAGACTTTAATTGAAAATTTTAAAATAAATTAATTCAATTTTCTCGGGTAAGTATACCAAGCACTTCTTTGTTATATATTTTTTATTTAATAATTTATTCAATTTGTTCGTTTTGCTTTAAGCATCAGGAAAGCCAGTGGATGTGCAGAATCATAGCGTGCCATAATGGGTCTTAACACTGGAGATTATTAAACTATGATAAGTGCCTACATAGCTCTGCCTATGGACACTTTCTTTTTGTTTTGGTAGAATCACAGTTAAATTTTAAGTGGATTAATTAACTCAGATTAAATTATAATAATATTTACAATAATAACAAATTCTTTTAATTCTTTGATAATAAAATATTAAGTTTAATGATTGTAGAGATTTACAAGTTCAACTCTGAAATTACGATTCTATTATGATGTATTTAAAATTTATTTTTTAAAATTTAAAAAAAAACAAAAATGTTAATATTTAATGTTGAGAAATATTAAGTCTTAACAGTTCAAGAGATTTATAAATCCAACTCTCAAATTTATAATTTTATTGTAATACATTTATAATTTATTTTTTAAATTTTAACAGATAACATAAATGTTCGTATTTAATATTAACAATAAAAAACTTAATAAATATTGTTTATTCTTTAACTTATTAAAATTTAAAAAATAAATTATGAATTCACCACAATAAAATTGAAACATTGATAGCTAAACTTATAAATCCATTTAGTCATTAGACTTGATATGTTATTATTAAAAGACCATAAAAGTTTGTTGGCACTCTAGAATTAATTGAAACTTAACTTTAATTAATTAATTTTTTTAAATATATATTTTTTCCTTTTTTTCTTTTTGCATGGAGAAGCATGTCCTAATTCTTCTTAGTGTCTTCCTCGCCAATAACAATACAAGAATATTTGATTTCTCTCCCATTTTCATTTCGTTTATTTTAAATTTAAGTTTTTAGTTGTTTGAAAATAACAATATTTTTTTAATAAAAATAAAATTACTCTGTACATCATCACAATATAGAAGAATATATTCACTCATCACTTACATTTTAAAAATTAAGGGAGCTTAATCATCCCCTGTAATTTTAAATTAATTAATATTTAATCTCTAAATTTTGACCCATTCAACTTAATCTGAAATTTTAGCTATTTAATAAACTAGTTACCAAAAATATTTCTCTATCAACTTTTAAGAAATCAAGTCATAAAATGTAGAGATAAAGTGTTTATGTAGCTACAAATTTAAATAATTAAATTACAGCGAGCTAAACTTTATAATTGAATTATTATCGAGTCAAAATAACATGAACTTAAATGAGTAATTTTTTAAAAATTAAAGGTCAACCACTTCAAATTTACATGCCAAGCCAAAAGAAACGAAAAAGCTTTGATAAATCAATCCAGGAAATATCTTCCATCTTATTCAAGTTTCAACCTTTTAATTGCAACAAAAGTAGGAAATTTGTGTCAGAAATGTCAAGAAAAAAGACAAAGAAGGGAGGGAATATTTTGACCTATCTAATTTCCGACTCAGCTTTTCTTGCCACCGCCAATAGACTAGACCTGTCACTTTATAAAAAGCATACAAATTTCAACCTAATTCATAGACTACCCATATTATCATTATAACTTTAGCACATTTGTTTGATCTATGTATTGTTGCAAAAACATTTAAGATTAATGATTATTTGCACCCTTCATTTGTTTTCATATAGAGTCTACGGATGTCATGAACTCAATTTTTAAATTACTTTTATCTTTAAACTCTTTAAATTCAACGACTTATTACCCTTAACTATTATTTGCTTAGTTTAACACATTTTGTTAACTATTGTTTGCTTAGTTTAACACATTTTGCTAACTTTTTTTTGGCCAAGTAGTGTCCATGTGGATGGCTTGCGCTAAAGGAAAGAGTAAATAATATGTTGATAATAATTCATGAAAAAGCTTCTTGCAAAAACAATGAAGGAAGATGCAGCTTTACAGAAAGAAAAAGAGTTATGGAGATAAATCTTAATTCATATTAAAGCTATTGAAATATTAAAAAAGTTGAAATAATTTTGTTTTGTGGTGGACAAACATCCTACTTGATATTGTGTAAAAGCTTTGAATTGCAATAAAACAAAGATAATTCAAGGCAAATTCGTCTAATCTTATACTTTATCATTCTAACATTCCAAATCAAAGAATTTGGTGTTTCAACGTCTCATTTTAGAGAGTAGAATGAGTAGTTTTTTTTTTTTAATAATATTTCAGTTTCAGTCTCTTGAAAATCAAAATAATAAATAATAAATTTATAAAGTGTAATAGGAGCAGCCGCAAGTCACATGTGCTTCCCTTGCCATAATCGCAACTTTATCAAAAGCCTAGTTTTGAGGCTGATATTGAGAATGAGTATTCACTTTAATTTATTCACATAACAAATACAGTTTCAATAAATAAATTATACCTGAGCCTTGATTCTTCGTTGGTATTCAATTTCAAATTAAAAACAGCGAAAAACAAACAACAAGAATCCACGCATGCCACTAAATGAACTAAAAGTTCAACTTTACAACATTAAACTCTTGTATATGATTCAAAACTGTTCCCTTGCAACTTTTGATCATGTTCCGTGATAGCGTGATACTGATGGAGAAGGATTTGTTAGGTCGACATTATAGTTATTTAAGTTTTTTTTTTTACATCTAAAATATTTAAACTTTTGATTTTAAATTAGCCCCAAATGACATTATTTAATTAGTTTAGAACAGAATGAGTGAATAACAATAATAATTCAGTTCCTTGACTGTTCTAAGTAAAACGATGCAATTTTAAAAATACATTAAATTCATAAAAGTATGACACATATAGACTCAAATTACACACATAAATCTTCTATATAACTTACAAATCACTCGTAAATTATATTTATTTGGAAGCTTGTTTACATCAATCTTGTAATCAATGTGCAAAATTTTTTTCTCAAAAGATATAAATAATTTTGGCCGAAAATTAAAAATGATAGAAAAAGTTAAAATGACATGAATGGCTATAATGAGGAACGAGATCAAATAATGATTTTGTCGAAGACTCGAAGCGAAGATTTTGACTTTTAGGGATCTGTGAGCCGGTTTAAACCCCAAATCAAGGCAATAAGTGCGTTTAAATTTTAAAATTAAAAGTAATTAATGATGACTACTCAGCCCCTCCATTTAAACTATAAACTTTTAAGCGAACTAATTAAAATTTTTTATTTCATATAAGTATCATTTTATTAGAGATAATTTTATTTAAAAGCATAATCACACAGTCAAGTTTTAAATCCAAACATTTCCTTTACAAGAATTTAAACATTTATTCACTATATTATAGGCACCAATTCAATTTTTCTGTACTCGACTTCTATTGATAATGAAAAATTTATTTCATTACAAATGTTATATACAACCAAGAAAATGACAAAAGAAAACAATACACCCTTCAGTTCAATGTAAAATATTTTATCAAACTGAATTTATATAAATAAAAGATGTTATGTGATGGAGTAGAGTGACGTGGAGTGTGAGTCATCGCGAACATTAGCTCTTAAAAGATGGGCTATGTCATGAGTCTCACATTGGGAGACCATATTGGTGGACTGTAATTTATAAGTTAACTCGGCACTCTCCCTTTATGAGGTGTCTTTTAAAAGTGAGTTCTACTTATATGACTTGTGGCTGTGACATACATTTAATAAAATTCTTCAAACAGAGAAAAATTAATTTAATTATATATACTACTACAAATTAACTAGATGCAGGCTTGTGCATCATACAAATTCTTGAAAATAAGAAAAATCATATTCAATGACTCGTGTGAAAAAAGTTATTCATGGACAAAAACTAATAACAAGTTACCATCCAAAAATAATCAATTACTTCCTCCGTTAAAAAATGTAAGATATGTTTAATCGAATCTCACTCTAATAAAATAGTTACTTACTTTCAAACTAATCTTATCTTTTTATATTTACCCTTATTAAATATCCTATAATAAATATAAAGCCATTCATCAATTAGGATACTTTTAAAAAAAGATAATGAGTATACCTCAAAAGACTAAACATGCCTTACATTTTTAAATATCGAATTCCTTAAAAAATATCTTATATTTTTAAACGAAGAGAGTATATATTAATCATTGTTTGTGAATACTTTTTTTCATAGGTCCTTGGATGCGATTATTTTTTTTAAAAAATCTCATAGTAAAAATTAGAAAGAAAAGATTTGAATGTTCTTGTTATCCATAAGTGGCCCTGTAAAGATGAGGGAACATAATAGATGAATGCATGTGAGATGTGGAAATATCAGACAGAATTAATACACGTCTAAGAACTTATGGGATGGAATAGTTTAACCCCTCTAACCTTTTAAAATTTCCCTCGTTATCATCATTTTCCTCTTTTTTTAATGATAATTTATTACCTAGGAATCATAGCATTTCAAGATCAGAATCATTAAACAAATTCATGAAAAAGCCAAAGTTATCATGCACACGGTGCAGGCATATGTGGTGGATCTTACCCTTTCTAAAACATGATTCACTTCTAGTATATAGTATATACAT